CGAGGCTGAGCGGAGCGTTTCCAGCCCAGCTCTGCTCACAGGGGCGGCTGCTGGCCCAGGGTGCGGGCTGGGCCCCCCTTCCTTCCCAGCTGCCTCTGTGGGGCACAGGCAGAGGGAGCCCTGGGTCTTTGTCCCGCAGCTCCCTGGCTTGGTGCAGGAGGCCAGCATTCTGGGAAGGAAGCCAGGGGCTGGGGTGGGCAGGGAGCACCTGCCGTCCCTTGGCCCAGAGGCTGTGAGTAACGTATGGACTTGCGTGGGGCACAGGGCTGTGGGCCGGCCTACGCCGCCCTCGGTCTGGTTTGAATTTCTGGAGCAGTGGAGGGTGACGGAGTGTTCCTCCCCGCCCCTCCCCTCCCCTCTTGCTGGCTGGCGGGCCAGGCCCTCGGCCACTGCTACCGGTGCAGCTCAGGGAGCGGCTGGGCTGGCTGCCCAGGCCTGAGGCTGGCCAAGCTGCAGCCGCAGTCGGAGTCAGGCCTGCAGTGGAGGGCTTGGCCGTGCACACGCCGCACCCCAACTGGCCGGGCCCTGGGGATCCTTCCGGCTCCAAGGCCTCTGTTGCGTTTCCATCCCCTTTCATCTGGTGTTCGACACCCTGAACTGTGGCCCCTGTATTGTGAGCTCCTACCTCCCTTTCCCCTACACTCTGGCTTAGTTCTGCCCAGACCCCCCAGCTCGACCCACGCCCTCCCACCTGCTCCAGTTGCCTCCCTCACTCCCAGCTGGCCTCCCTTCCTGCATTCCTCCAAGCCACAGGGTGCCCATTGGTGCCGGCCACTGAGTCCCTGATGCTCACCTGCTTAGGCCAGTAGCCCCTGCAAAACGAGGTGTCCTTTTCCCTCACACTTCGGTTTGCTCTTTGGGGACTTTCTCTCAGTGTCTTTCCAAGTTCATGTTCCTCTGGTTTGTCCCCAATGCTGACTGGCTGCTCTGACCGCCAAGGTGAGGGTCCATGTGTAAGGTTTGCAAACTGCCCCCCGCCCCCACAGACCCAGATCTGGAAATATGAGGCCTGTGGATGACAGGCGGGGGTCATGGACCCCTGCACTGAACTACACCCTAGGCCCAGTGGAGTGAGGGGCCTGGCTCGGAGCCCTGGGGCTGTGGGCGTGTACGCAGAGTGCAGGGTGCCCTGGCCAGGCCGTGCTTCTGGGCTTGTCCCACTTCTCACTCACCGTGTCCTCAATGCCTGGGAGGGTGGGGGCATGGTGCAGCGAGGAAAGCGCCTGGAGAGGACAAGGGGCCCTCTCAGACCCTAGCTGTATTCCACATCCCTTGGGGCCTGGTGTGCTGGCGGGCGGGGACTTGTGCAGTGACCGAACTTGTCCTCTCCTCCCCTCCCTCTGGCCAGCTGTAGGCTCCTGCAGGATTAAGGAGAGGAAATTTGGGGTTGGGTTTCTCTCTGAACGAAACCTGCCGTAGTGACTTTTTATCCCGTTATATTTCTATCAGATTGGACACAGCCCCCCTCTAGCCCTTAATGGCTCTGGCTTTGAGAATTTCCTCCAAAATTACACCACCGCTTCCTGCTCCTCTGTTCCCTGGAGCCTGTCTGTAGAGGAGGGGGCAGCTCTGGCCCTGCCCTGCTTGAATGCCCACATGGGCCTCAGCACCTGGTCTCCCCCTAGGGCACGTCCGTGCCTGCACTGAGGAGGGGCCCGGGGCCGGCCAGCCACCCCACCACTGCACCTGGCGCCCTTGGCCATTCCCCACCCGACCGGAAGTCAGGCTGCTGGCCCGCCTGGGTGGGTGGGGGAGGTGGTCTGTATAGGTCCACCCTGCCTTTCTTCTCTCTGTGCCCACTGAGCTCACACCACTAAACTGTAATTGTCACGTGCAAGATTTTAATGGTCGGCCAGCTGTGCACGGAGTGCTACAGGAGCTAAATCAACCTTCTCGTGGCAGTCAGGGTCTTTGGGGAGTGGGCCACAGTGGTAGAAGGATGACAACAGCCACAGGTTCTTCAGTGTGGGAAGTGCTTCCAGGGGCTGAACTAAGTATGACACTGTGTGGGGGGGTGCCACTCCAATTACAGCTTGTAGAGGTAGGGAGCCCACAGCCTTCTCTGGGGGCCTGGGTAGGCACCTTGGGTGCCACCTCGCCCATGTTCTTAGGCCCACCCGGGCCTGGGAACCCACTCTGGTAGGCAGCACTGCCTGATTAACCCCATGTGTCACTTCTTGGGGCTCTGTAAAGACTGTGGTGCCGGTTGCCAATGACCAAGTTCCCAAGGTCAGGCACAGTGCCTTCCTCACCCCTCAGGGGTCCCTGGGTCTCAGGCAGGCCCACAGGACAAGGCTGCTTGTTGCTAACCTCAGTGTCCCCTGCTGTATGGCAGGGGCTTCGTCCTTCCCTTGCCCTCTCCCTGTCTTCTGCCATGCAGCTCCCCCCCCTCCCCTAGCCAGCTCCTCAGCCCCTACCCCACAGCTCCCCGACAGGAGGCTCTTTGTGGGTGAGCTAAGCCTGTCTCTCCTCACTCTGCCTTGGCCCAGGGAGGGATGGCCCCAGCCCTGGAAAGCGGGGGATCTTCCCAGAGAACTGAGACACCCAGTCCAGGAAGAATGGGGCCTCCAGGGTGGGAGTGTAAGCTCAGGCTTGGGGTGGGATGGGGGTGAATCTCAAACTTTTCAAGAGGACAGTCTGCCTTGTATTTGAAGATATTGTTTTGTTTTTAATTATACAAAATTTCCAGACTTTATATTATCATATCAAAGACATAAGATGCCAACACATAGTGACCGGAAGAAAACCCAGGCAGGAAGCCAGCATGGAAAGTTCCAGTGGGCCTGGGCAGGTGCTGGGGCCAGCTCAGAGTCCTGCCCCTGCCGCCTGTCTGTCCGTCTGTCTGTCCAGCGACCCTGCTCACAGCCAGGGCGGTGCTGGCCCAGGGGGCATGCTCTCAGCAGGCCTTGCCCATGTCTGGTCCAAGGTGGGGGCTCTCCGTGGCTCACCCAGGGGTGTCCACCTCCCCCAGCAGCATCTGCCTCCTGGCCGCTGTGGGCCCACCTCCTAACTTCGAATCGCTGTCTTTCTGTCGCGGTCCTTGCTCTGCAGAGGGGAAGGAGGAGTGTCAGGGCCTGGGCAGAGACCTGGCGCCACCCAATAGCACCAGCCCACGCCTCTGGCTTCTCCACTGGGTGCGGTCTCAGGTGGCCGGTGCTGAGGCACCCCTTCCCAGCTTGCCCCAGCTTCCCTCGTGCATTTTGGGGAGGGGAGCACACTGCTGCACAGCCGAAATTGTAAAATTAAATTTCCCAGATGTTCAGGCCCCAGGAGCTCGCGCGTGCTGTCTGCAGAGGAAATGGGGATTGGGAAAAGCCGTGCCATATTTTCTCCCTGCTCACCCTGCTTTTCCGGTGCCACCAAGCCCAGCAGGAGCTGTAAATCACAGCTGGCCAGCATCTCCTGCAGCATGGCCCTCATCCCCCGGCCCCCACATCTCCTGCTAGCCTTTGCCTTCATGCCCTTGGCCCATCCTTGCAGCAGCCCTGCAGGACCTGGTGTCTTGGTGTGCAGCCCAGGGTTGAGGGGGACAGCAGGTGCCCAATAGGCCTTAGGCCAGTGGTGGGTTGCAGGGACTGTAAGGTGGCATATGGACCCCAGGGATCCCTCCTTTACTGCTTCGCTGTTTCCCTCAAATGTCCTTCCCGTGGAGGCAGGGCAGGTGGTCTGGAACCAACAGCTTACTTCCTGAACTCGGATCACTCACTTCACTTCTCAACTTGTGAAGTGAAGCTTGGAGCAGCCCTGGTCCAGCTCCCCAGCCTCTCCCAGGCTGGTGTCTGCCCTGCCTGCCCCCCTGGTTCTGGGTGGTCCCCTCTGGCCATTGCTACCTGTTTCCCCTTATTTGCAGGCCCCTGTGAGCCAGTTGAGTGGGTCCTGTATCCTAGAGACTCCTGAGAAGCGGTCCCAGGAGAAAACCCCAGCCCTCCCCAGCTGCAGCCTTCCTTGGGCTCGGCTTGAGTTACAAGTGTCCCTGTCTGTGCCCTGTTGGGGAGTCCTGCCTTGGCAGCCTCGCCTTCTCTGCCTGGCAGGTAGGGGCTGAGGGGTGAGTTGGAGGCCCCCTTGGCGCGTGCTCACCAACTTTCTCTGGTTGCTGAGGCAGAAGGTGCAGATCTGTTTGGGCTGGGCGTTCTCGCCGTCGCGGGCTGGGGCTGGCGGGGGCGGAGGGCTGCCGGCGCGCGCCGCGTGGAAGAAGGCTGGCCCCGAGTGGCACGGCTGCCCGTCGCCACAGGCCTCGCCCACCAGGAGCACGTTGCCCAGGTGCGAGATGTAGCTGGAGGCCAGGCGCAGCGTCTCGATCTTGGAGAGCTTGCGGTCGGCGGGCTCCGTGGGGATGAGCGTGCGCAGCGCCGTGAAGGCCGTGTTCACACTGTTGGTGCGGTCTCGCTCGCGCGCGTTCGCAGTGT